AGTGAGAATGTGAGCCTGGAGCCCATCCCTGCTCCGAGCATTGAGGTGCAGCTGCATCCTTCCACCAGGCATTTGTGCTGTCTGCTGGGTGGCTCCAGAGGCCGGGGGACACTTCCCAGCAGGACTCTGGGTTCAGCCCCAGGGTGAAAAGCAGAACTGACCTGAGTGTGCTGCAGTGCTGTTGTGTGTGCACAGTAAAACACAGCCTGTGTCTTCCCTTCAGTGGGTAACTCACTGCAGGGCAGGGACAGAGGGAGCCTCAGCGTTGTGCAGGACATCTACACAGCGTGTTCTGTGCGTTGGCTGCCTCCTGAAGCACAATCCTGCCTCAGGCTTGACACTGGGTTCCAGCCAGCCAAACACAGAACAAATCCTTCCTCTCAATGACCTCCTCAGCCTGGTATTTGAATCACACCAGGGGGAGGAAAAAAAAAAAGAAAAAAAAAAAGAAAGAAGCCAGTTAAAATTTGCCAGAGCAAAGAAAAAAATACTAGTGTGATGTAATGCATGTGCTGACTGGAGCGTTCCTCCCCGAGCCCTCGTGGCAGGTGTCAGCACACACAGCAGGGCCAGGAGTGTTCGTGTGCTGCATGTGCTGGAGGAGCTGCCTTGGCACAACCAGCAGCACTCTGAGATCTCCTTGGCTGCCCCTCTGGTGACTGACTGCAGCTCCATACCTGACTGTGGCTGTCCCAGCTCTGGCACCTTCCTGTTCCACAGTCTGCACCTCGGCGTGGAGGCTCTCTGTGCCTGGTTCTGCAGAGATCCTGCTCTCTGTGCCTGGTTCTGCAGAGATCCTGCTCTCTGTGCAGGGTCTGTGCTCCTCCAGCAGAGAACTGGGCTCGTCCTGACTCACTCCAAAAACCTCGCTGCTTCTGAACAACAAACGTGGTGGAATCTCAGCTTTCCTGGCTTTTTGGAATGGGTGATGTCCTGCTGGGCAGCAGAATCCCAGCACCTTTGGGATGAAGGCAGATGCACAGTTCCAGAGCAGGGCAGCCCACTTGGAGGCCCCAGAGCAAGAAGGAATGTGTGAGGTTCAGCAAAGGAGATTTCCCTGGCAGGGCTCTGGCCAGGACCTGCTGAGTGAATCCATGCTGGTTTACCCTGGACTCTGATGGGAGTTTCAGTCACTGAGCTGTACAGACCAGTAAAGTTCAGCTCAGCCTCAAGTAGCTGGCTTTCAGCTTACTGACATTTTGTGGTGATACCATTTCTCCTCCAGGATTGCATTATTGGTGCTGCTGAGAATGTGATTTTCCCCAGAAGTCACAGCAGGGATCAGAGCGGAATTCTTAGCATCCAAACCAAGTTCCTCAGTTAACTGAAGAACATCCACCCATTTAAAAATCCTGCTCTATCCCCTCATTTCATGCACCAGAAGTTTTCAAACACAAGTAGTAATTGTGGGTGTGAATGTATGCCTTCCTATTAGCTGGAGACACCACTGAGGCAATCTGCTGTCTCTGATAGGTGGAAATTAAGTCAAAACTACCCAAAAGCTCTTCTCCCTCTGTCTGGAAAAACCTGAATCAAAAATCTGTTTGGATGTCTGAACGGTGCATCCCCAGCAATTCCTTTTTTTACTTTTTTTTTCCCAACAGGAGAACACCAATTCAAATTGGAAGTTCCTTATACCTAGGGGAAAGCACTTTATAGGCTTGTTTTGAAACCCACAACTTCTCAGCATTTCCCACTTCAGCTTGTAACCAATTTACAGCTGGAAGGGCTGAGGGCTAAAACCCAGGTAATTCAACAAGCAATTAAAACCAACTCAATTCTACATGCAGACGACTCTCAAAAGTGGTTACTGGAGCTCTACTGAGCAGTGCATGTAGATTTTTATGCCCAGGGGAACATCACTGAGGTAATTGCCTTTCCATTTAGAATAAATATGTTTTATTCTTTGCTGCTTAAGTTGGTGTTTTTTAAAAGAACCATGCCCATTAACATGAAAAAAGAGACACTGCTCTCCAGGCAAAAAAAACCCCTGAAAGCACTTGTTAAACAAACAGAGCATCTGCCATGAACATTAACTGCTTTGTAGCTGATTTTTGTGGGGGTTTTTTTTCCCAGTCTAAGGAGAGTTTGTCTGCATAACTTCAGGACTCTGTGCAAACTCAAGCACCTGACAGTATAAGAATAAATATCTTATTTTTCATTCACCTATTTTTCATTTCACTCACTTATTTTAAGCTCCTCTTCACAATTTTCCACCTAAAGCATAATTCCAACCATGACTAACACGAAGTCATTTTTGTTGCCTGCATATGTTGCATGCATGTGAGGAGTTTTTAGTCATTCATAGTATTGGTTTGATTTGAATTAAATCTTTCTGAATGTGCCTATTCAAGTAACCTTTTGCTTCCAATTCTTGAAAGAAATAACTTTCATGTCACCAGGCACAGCCTCCCAGAATGAAAACCTGGGCACAAAAGGATGGATGATGGGATGCAAAGGGAAGAAAGGAAGGGGAAGGCTTGGTGTCTCTGAAAGGAGAAGAGCAGAAATATGGAAAGAATTCAAAGAGAAGGCAGTAAAAACCCCACCAGGTACAGCTTGACTTAGCACTGGGGCTGCATCAGAATCTCCTGTGGGGATATTTTTGCTCTGAGAGCTGGCTGGAAGGAGCCTGAAAATTGTGAGAAAAGAAATTGGCTCCTCCTGTAGGAGGATTTCTGCTTGGTTCAGTGACACAAAACTTTGTCTTTTGCAAACAAACAGGTTTCTGTCACAGAGCCCCAGTTCCACTATCAGTTTCTCCTCCTCTGATTGTTGCTAATGGCTCAGATCAGAAGGGCTAAGGAAATAGGGAGAAAATTCTCCTCTTGCTGTGGGAAATTCCACAGCCTTCCTGAGGACAGGGCTGGAAGGGTCCTCAACAGATCAATCTCACAGCTTAACGCAAGATCATTTGGGCTTAACCCCCCTGACAGGTGTCACTCCAGCTTGTTCTCAAAAACTTTCCCTGCTGGAACTTCCACGGTTTTCCAAGGCAAGCTGGTCAAGATGTTTGTCCAAAGCTTGTTAATACACTTCCCTCACAAGTAACCTAGATCTTCCCTTGAGGCCATTAATGCTTCCTCTGTGCCCTGGGCACATGTGAGAGCAGTTTATTCTTTCCTCCGTGCAGCCTCCATTTATGCATTTTAAGTTTACTGGCATCTTGTCCTTAATTTTTCCTTTCTTTAGCCTGAACATTTCCATTCCCTTCGATGTTTCCCCACAGGTCTTGTTTTTTAGACCCGATTCTCTTTGAAATAGTCTCCACCTCACATCCTTCTTGGAGAACAGTGCCTAAATCTAGACAGAGCAGACCAGCCAACATCACCACAGCTTGACCCAGCGGTGTGAAATGATTATTTTAGTTGGTCTTAACTCGCGGTGTTCCTGCCTGTACCTCTCACCACTGGGTGCTTCCTTCTCAGCAGCTGGTCATTACTGATCCAAGTTCATCCTGCAGTCACAAAACCAGGCAAACTTTTCCTGCAGAACCACTCTGCAGGTGGCTGTTCTGCCCGCTGCTTGTGGAGACAGCTCAGGGCAGTCTCCCAGGCTGACTGTGAATGACTGAGGAGTGTTATCTCCCCATCTTCCTCTTCCTTCCTCTATTTCCAGAGCTGTGAGCAGCTGACAAGGCTCTAGCTGAGCCCTGGCCTGGAGTTAAGGTGACTGGAGAGGACGTGGGAAACTGCTGGCCCTGAGAGATAAGGACGGATAAGGGGAGGGAAGTTACAGATAAGGGCTGCATTCTGCAGGTGGTTAGGGAAGTGTTAAGTGAGCAGTGGCCAGAAGTCACTGATAACTAGAGAGAATTCCTTGGGGAGTAGGACCCTGCTAGGGCAACAGGTTAGCACATTCAGGAGCACCAGGTAAGGACAATATTACCCAGGGAGCCGTGTCGGAAACACCAGACTGTGCAGAGGTGGGAAAGCTGGGCCCTGTGAAGAAAAATGAATTTGGGGTGGGTGGGTGCAGAAATGGGGAAGACAGCACAGCATGGGAAAAGGAAGGATTAATAGATGTGGGGGCAAGGAGGATAAAGAGCTGTGCCAGGCAGCCCTGAGCTTGATTACAGCTCATGGCCCAAACATGCTGCCCTCGTCATCCCACAGAAGCTGGCTCTGTGGTCAGGAGGATGGGGGCAAGGATCTGGCAAATCCAGGGAACATGGAGGCAAAGACAGGCCAAGCATCCCGGTGTCACTGGCTCCACGCCACTGCCAAATCTGATGGCATCACCATATTCCCAATGCCTTCCCAACACTCCTGCAGAGCTTTTATTCTAAACTTGATCGCTTGTTTGAGCCTGTTTGCAGCATGGCTCCACACACCCAGTGTGCTGCTGCCCAGGAGTGGGAATGAGGGGCCAGGAGAGGCATTTATTTAAGGCAGTGTTGTCACTAAAGCCTCCATTCCATCAAACCTTGGCTCAAGAATACAAGAAAATGATTTTTCGCTGCTGCTTTGTCCTAGCCAAGATTCAGACCCTTCTGAGTGAAAAGTTATGTGTTCCTGCCTCTCATTTCCTCTCTTTCCTTTTGTTCAGACATCTATTTATCATTCAAAACCAGAAACCTGGGGATTAATTTATTCTTTACAGAACTCAAAGAAATGTGGGGATTTTTTAAATTTCCAGATCTTCCACACAACAAGTAAGGAATATTTGTCAGCTACTAATTTTTCCCCATTCTATTTATATTTGCATTCTTTCTTTCTGTGATAGCTACTTCACTTCACCCTCTGACATTTTATTAGACAAAAATGGGAAACTCTGGCCCCCGCTGACGTCAAGAGGAATTTGGGTATCGATTTCCCTGAAAAAGCAATTTCAAGCAGTGACCTGGCAGCCTGCACCAACTTGTGCCCAGGCTGTCTGCATGCAGGGGGCCTTCACCCTCCTCACACAGCCTTTTCATTTTCCTCTTATCCAGCTCTAGATCCAGCTCAGAAATACTCAGAAGAATCAGTAACAGAGTGGAAAGATGTGAGCCTTGATATTAACTATCTGCTTTTATAGTTTCTCTGATGTTGGCTTCGGTTACCCATAACTGGGGGTCGTGCTTGGCTGCCAACTCACTGAGCAACTTCCTCTGTTTAAACAGAATATATAAGCCTTACTCTTTTCCAGAGTTCATGACTCTTTTGTAAAGTGTTTTATGATACAGTTGTTACAGAATCCACCATCACAGTAACAGCTCCAGACAAGGCCTCGCTGTGGGCCTGGCTTCCAGCCCACTTCCTTGAATGGAGGTTTTTCCATCGCTATCAGCGGATGAATAAATACATCAAACTGCAGCACACACCCCCACTGCAGGAACAAGGCCACGGGGGCTTGGGGGGACATGTCTAGTCGTTGTTTTCTCAGAATCAGAGATCGTGAATCCAGCCCCGTGCAGAGGATCCTGAAGGCCTGAGTGCCTTTGAGGCCCTTCAAACACAGCTTTTTCAGAGGGTCTTAGCAGCGGTGCTCAGCACACGAGGCCTGTGAAGTCACATAAACCTCCCACACATCTGTTCTGTGCCTTACATCCCTCACTTCTGTTTGTGTGAGGTTTAACAGTGACTGCTCCGGACTGAGAGCAGCCCGTGCAGCGTGATCCATCCTTTTATCACGGCGTTGGGTCAGGTCAGCTCAATAAGTGATGGTGGCCTTGTGGTAGTAAATGATCTCCAAAGTGCAGCTTCTTCTGCACTTCAGGGCACAGATTTCCCACAAAGGAAATGGGAGTGCTCGGGAGATGGTGCCGGTGGAACCAGCAGAGGAAAAAGGTAAATCAGCACATCATATCGCTTGTAATGGTGTCACATTAAGATCACAGTGCTCTGGGAGGGATGCTGTAAATCAGCTTTTGGATGTCCTATTTTTAAATCTCACAGAATGCACTCATTATCGGAGGAAAGCATAATCCCGGCCTGAGGTATTTGAGGTGACTTAGCTGTTTTGTGACTGGATGAATCATGGCACATTCACAGTGTTCATGTCCCTGCAGCTCAGGCTGAACACCTAGAGACCCTCAGATGGGACTTTTACTGCGCTGGAAAAATCACGGCTTGTAGGGAAAAATGTTAATACATCCTCATACAGACAGAGCTTTTGATCTCATTCCTTTAGATTCCAGTTCATCCTCTGTAGCCTGGCTCCAAGGAGTGACCGATGCCAGATGCTGCAGAACAAGGACTGGACAATTTTTAGAGCATTTTGGATAGAAGGAAATCTTTTTCCCAGCATTAGTTTGAAGCACCGGTTGGCCCCAGTCCTGAAGCATGTGGGGGAAGAGAAAGGCTGAGGCTGCACTTTAATTCCCCCTAATGTAGATTTGGAATGGTGGGTTTTGTTTCCCATATGAATGCAGTTATTCTTTTTTCTCCTATTAAGCATAATCAAGAAAAAAATCGTTGTGAACCAAAGGTTTTAGAACATTAAAAGGACAGAAAAATCTCTCTGGTGACAGCTAGGGCACAGCTAATGCTGAGTGCCCGGTTGCCCTGGTCATCTGCCTTCCTAAAGCTCCCCTGAGTGCTTCTGCTGTGGAAGTATCTGGTTTTCCAGCAGTAACTGGTATTTCCTGGGCCTGAGAGACTCCAGCAAATTACTTCAATTGCTCTATTTTATTTGCTGTGTTTCTGTTTTTAAAGCAAACCAGCCCGAAGTTCAAAATCCCTTTGTAATGGACAAGAAAGTAACGAGATTCCCTGGAAGTCTGTATTAACATGCCAAATCAATTACAGTGTAATTAGCCAGAACTGTTACTTGTTGAAATCCTGTCAACGAAAATAACTCAGGCTTCCCCTTCAGATTGCTCCAGCACCTCCATCTTCTTGACAAGGACTTTGAGAGAGAGAGAGACCACCTCCTCCCAGCCCCTATCAGACTGAAGGCAGGGAATGAAACCCAGATGTGTTCATCCTTACAAACATGGAATGGTGGAAAATGCTGGGGAAAAGGAGGACAGAGCTCTCCTGACCAAACCACGATGCCTTTCCAGGGCAGGATGAGCCCCCTGGGCAGGCTGGACCCTGCTTTCCCTGGGGTAATGCTGCAGGCTGCTCCTGTGTTCCCTGAATTATGCCAGCCCACGGAGAAGGAGGCCCACTCCTGGGAAGCTTTATCTGCAATTCATTTAGGAAAGAGGCAAGTCCTCTCCTCTGACCTAATTGAAAACAGGCAGCCTCCTTCTAATTGTGCACTCTAACCAGTTCATGTGCATTAACAGAGGAAATTGGAGAGGAAAAGGGTTTGGCATTAGGGAATTGGCATTAATTTCCTGCACTTGAAGGTCCATATGCCAGCTGTTTATATACAAGCACCAGGAATTTTTTTCTGTTCCAGTTCTAGCCAAGCGTGTAGAAGGGCACAGTTTTTCCAAAAGGCACCATTTTCAAAGACTAAAAGACCTCTTAATGCCAAAAGAGTTAATATTGCTCATCATTACTTTCAAAAGACCCTTTTTGTGTTTGGCTCTGCCTGCCCACAAGGAACACTCCGGGAAAATGGTCAGTTTTGGTTAAAATATTGCAAAGCTGAAGGAGAGTCTTCATCAAATAGCCAACAGGAAGAGGATGAGAAATGCCCTTGTCAGTCAGCAGCTTCAGGAGGTTTAATCCTACAAAGTCATACATGTTCTGAATGCAAAGTTATATTAAATAATACCAAAGCAGCAATAAAACTTCTGGCAGTATTTTAGGTGTGTGTTTGCAGTTCCAGTGATCAGGTGTCTTTACAGGTCTCAAGTTTTGTGAGCACTGGGGTAGCCAAATAACTTAGAGTTGTTTCAAAGTCACCACAGGGTTTGGAATCTTGATTGTATCTATCTGATCATACACTGAATGTGCTTAAGCAGAAATAGAAATGACTTTTAATTGCAATCAGGCAGCTGTACGTACCAAAGTCACCGCAATATGCTAATGAGATGCTAATATATCCCTTTGCCTTTGCTGCAGCCTTTTTTTAGTATTTTATCCCCCAAACAGGTTTTGCAACACACATTTCAAGGTGGAGACTTTTGGAAAGTTGCTGCTTATTAGGTGGAATTTTGGGGAAGCAGCAAAACTTCCTCATTTCCAGGTTGCCCTGGACCACCAGAATGGACAATGCTTGAATTATTACCTGGGCTCCTTCCAGGTCCTCAAATGCATGGGGACAAGGGAACCTGCCTTCACTGTTATGGTTGACTGCAGAGTTATTGATGGGAATTTAAAAACTGTTTGTCAGGTTAAGCTTTTGGGGGGGGAAAAACAGGGCTAGAGGTTTAAAGCAATTCTGCTGGGTGCTGGCCAATCATGTAGACCAAGGACTGAAAGTGGGTGGTCTTGGAACAGAGCCAGTGGAAATAGGGCCAGGAGATGGTGTCATCCTTGACTCCAACACATTCATGTTTTGGCTCTCCAGCAAGGGTTATTTTTTCTCTTTATTCTGCAGTTCAACACAAACATCTTCTTCGCTTTCTAAAATCCGTGGGCTGAGGTGTTCCACCTGCCAGGTGGAAACACAGACCAGAAAAATCACAGCAAGTTCCTGGAAAGTAGGAACAGAGCAGGAGCAGGCCCAAGAGGAGGTGTCACACCTGCCAAGTCACCCAGCCAGGAGCAAACTTGGTTTTGGACTCCCAGAAAGGTGTGTGAAAGAGTCTTAAAAATCACAAAATAAGGCAATGTGATGTCTCTGGGACCTGCCCACGCACTGAGCTTTGACACTTACCTTGAAGTATTTTAGTGTAAGGTGGGTGTAAGGCTTTGGTATCATCCCCTTAGTCTTAAGCAGAAAACTAAAGTTTTAAGCAGAGAGCCTTGACATTTTCCTAGAAGTAGGAGGGATGTTTTTAAATTTTTTTATGTATTTTCCTCTTTTCTTTTCTTTTCTTTTCTTTTCTTTTCTTTTCTTTTCTTTTCTTTTCTTTTCTTTTCTTTTCTTTTCTTTTCTTTTCTTTTCTTTTCTTCCCTTCCCTTCCCTTCCCTTCCCTTCCCTTCTCTCTCTTTTCACTAGGGGTTGGGCAAGTGCCTATAGGTTTTGCAGGACTTTGGAACTCCTGCCAAAATTTGATTCCAGCCGAGCTGAGCTGTGTCCTGTTACTTTACCTTTGGAACTTCAGGGCTCTTCCCAGGCCATGGATTTCCATGTGGGCCTCCCACTACTCAGTTTTACCATGGGGTTGCAAAAACATTTTAAATGTTGCCTTTTAGGTTTTGCCTTTTTTTCTTCCTTTTGTATGTTCTGTGTGTTCTTCACACACATATTTGTAGCTCTTTAGTCTATTGTATTAGTGACTGGTTTTCTCAGTTCTTTTCCATGGCCTTTCCTTAAGCAGAGAGATCTCAAATTCATTTCTTCCATGAGGGGGGAAAAAATCAACCCCCTCAAAAAGGCATTATTTTCTGCAGAAAATAAGGCCTTCAGCTTGAGCAAAATGCTGATTTCTGGCCTTATGAAAGGAAAAACTAACAAAAAAGAAAACTAGGGCATTAAAATCTGCAATAAGAAGTGTCCTCCCTTTCAGGGTTGCAAGGAGTCTTTGGGAGGTGGGTAAATTTAGTTCTTTTTTTGCTTGAACAGAATTGCCTTCCATCTCCCAACCTTCAGGCAATTTTAGGAATCTTTTCCTGAAATAAATGGATTTTCCCCAAATAAATGTACCAGCACAGACAGTTCTCAAGACACTGATAATTCCAGAAAGACTAAGGCCACATTTTTCAATGAATTTACTATTTTCCAATACATATACGTGGCTCTGCCCCCGTCTAGCACAGAATCTTCTGAATATCACTTAGCCAATGTGTTAAATGTCTATTTTTAAGTTGTTTTCCCACGCTCTGAAGAGTGAAAACAAGTCAGTCCAAGCATATGTGGAGATCATAGCTTGGATGTGGGAAGCCTTCCAATGACACCTTCATCTGCCTTGGAGGACCTTTGTTTTCCACTCTTTGGAAGAAAAAACCACACAGCCACGTCTGCAAAACAAGATATTCAGCCCCTGGCAGCCAGCAAACACCAGCCAGAGAAAGGACACAACATTTATGGGCTCCCAAAACACAGATGTAAACAGAATCTCCTTTAGCAGCGGAGAGAGCACAGGCCAGATTGCTTGAAAAAAAGAGAGTTTTAGGTGCTGGCAGCTAAATTGGTCTTTAGATGTTGCTGAGGTATTTATAGAGCTTCTGGAAAGGGATTTGAAAATATGCCATAATTAAACATTTGAACTGGGATAACGTTGTGATAAACGATCATGTGGAGGTCCCAAACACCTTAAATAGTCACTCTGTGCTCCTAAACCAGAATGTTATTGGCTCTGATGCTGATTTAACGTCCTCACAAGGGGCTTTAAAAACAAGCACGGGACAGAGAAGTCAGGCATCCAGTTTTTATTTCAGAATTCAAAAGCCTAATGAGGTAAGGAAGCTACCAAGAGATCCATAAAAAGGAAGGCAAAAGGTTGAACAGTCCACAGACTTGCATAGGAGGTGGTTGCAGATGTGCATGATACACAGCACAGGGCAATTGCTAAACTTGCTATTTAAATGTTAATCAAATCCTTTCAAAATAGTAGCATGGAAAAAAAAGGGGCTAATTCCTTTTCCTGTACTTCATCAGATGGTAGTGGGAGAGCCCACCAGCTGTGAGGAGGCTGTGGAGTGCTTGGCTTCTGTTCTGGTAATGAGCTTTTGATGAGGAATGCACTTTTCACCCAACACCGGTTTTCCTCTGGCTCCCAACAGACATGCAGCTGAACTGGCATGAGGGGCCGATGTGCTGGTGGCAAAAGGGACCTTCCTTGGCCCTTTATGGATTCCTTTCTACCACAGACACAGAATGGCTGGGTGAGTTCTGGATGAGCAAAGAATGCGGAACACAAGTGGTGATGGACAGTTAGAACTTGAACATTTGGGCACATCCTCCCTTGGCATGGCTGCTGGGGGAACCGTAACACTTTACAGCTCCTAAGAGACTTCACAGACATTCCTTCTTTATTGTACAACTAAAAATAGCCCAGTGCTTTGGCTTGGGTTGTTTTTAGAGGTGGGCAGGCCTTTCCCAGTCAAATACAGCAGTGATAATGAATGCTGAGTGCTGGCAATGCCAGAGAATTTGTCATGGACAGCCTTCCCTCTCCTCTTGCCTGCTGGCCTTTCTGACAAATTCAGGACACTATTTTTTGAGGTGTCCAACTGCTTACAGCTTCTATCCCTCCATAATGAAGGCTGGGGGTCGGACACATTTCCCTGTGAGCCACTCAGAAAGAGCAAATGAACTGGGGAACTCAAACAATTCCAAGCAGGGTAAGAGAGATCTGTCTTCCCTCAATGCACATGCCAAACAAATAGCCTGACATCATCTTCATTCACCACACAAAATCTATAGCAAGAGCAAACACCCTTTTCCTTCCTCTTGGTTCAGCTTTAACAGTGCAGAACTTAATCCTAACTCGCCACAGGAGAGATGGTCTGTGTGTATTTTCCTCTTCCTGTTCTTCTATAAATAAGCTGAGTTTTGCATCATTGTCTATTAAAGCATCACTGGTTTTTTTTTCCTTAACTCTGGGACAGACAAACTGGACAGGATGTAGGGCTTGGTACTGTTATTTACAGCAAGTCCTTAACTCTGCAAGCAAAGTGGTGCTGAATCCAAATGAGGACATCAAATGTGGATCCTAAGGAGACCTGTACCTTTGGAATATGAATAACCCTGCAAGAGTATTAAATCTGGATTCTCCTGACTTCTGTGTGCAGAATCAGTCTTTGGTGTAACATTTCATTCCTTTTTACTCTGTCATTCAGATGCACAAACCAAGCATGCCAACGTGCCCATACAAATGTTAAGAGTATTTCAAGCTCCTCTCAGGTTTTGTAAGCAGAGGGAATAAAGCTAAATGGAACAATTATTCCAGCACAGTATTACACACAGCAACCTCCTGAATAATTCCATATGTGTGCTGTCTCAAAGCAGTGAAATCAATCAGTCAAAAGCAATCGGTCCAGTGGAAATTGCGAATGTGTGTGGGGAAATAAAAAGACATGAGGGGCTTTGACCGCTCCTGTGATTTTTTGAAGAGCTGCTAGATGCCCTTTGTTTGGGGTGGGCTGTTGAGTTATCACCCTGGCTCTGCTGGAACAGCCAGGAGACTTTCACGTGTGAATTAACGCGTCTCTGTGTGGGAAGCTGACACGGCGTATTTCCATTTCCCTCAGCGTGCCCGTGTGTACACAGCCATAGCTGTAGGGGTGTATCTATCAGTACCAAATAAATGTATCCATGCCAGAGTGAGCTGCCCTGTGAAATGCCTGCTTGCACGGAGCTGGACAAGGTCTCAGAGCCTGGCAGGATGGTGGTGTCATCCTGGCAGGACGTGCCCCAAGCTCTGTGCTCCTTCCCCTGCCAGAAGGACGAACGTCCTGTGTTTCCTAATGGGGTCAGTTCAAAGAGAGGTCTGTCCAGCTGGGGCCCCACCTCACCTGAGCTCCCTGTTGGATGGGAGAGCTCGGATATGGTTTTCATGCAGCTGCTGCTTTGCTGTTTGTACTGTTTTCTCTCTATGAGGCAAAGCAGGGTGCGCTCTGCCCTGACACAGCCGACTGTGGGTCGTGTCTGATCCCCGGGACACAGGAGTCCTTCTCTCCCTTCTCTACCCTCACATCCCTCTGCATGGATGGGGCCTTTATCCCTGTCCCTGATCTCTGCAAGGGACACCAGCCCACCAGGGGATGCAGCTGAACGTCAGTGACCACTCAGCACTGCATCCCCCCTCACTCCTTAGCCTCAGCACTTCACCCTGAGCCTCCCCCAAAAGCAGCTTGCAGCCCCCCACACTTGCTTTTGGCAGTTTGAGGTTTCTTTTTTGTGGAGCTGGACTCACACCCTCAGCCTGAGCAGAGGTGTCCGAGGAGAGCTCCAATCCACATCCAAGAGGTGTCAGGCTCTTGTTTATGCACTGGTGGGAGCACGGTTGCACCTGTGGACACAAAAGCATCCATCCCCCAGGGAAAAGCAGGGTTCAGGCTTACTGCTGGCCCCTCTTCCTGCTCTGAGCTCAGGAGAATCCACACAGCCCACAGAGCAGGTCTGGGTCTGCATCTTGCAGCTGACTGTGTTTATAACACACTTAGGAGTGACAAAACCCCGTTCCATGACATTGAGCATTGCAGGAACACCTTCCGCTTTTCCTGGGTTCTGCTGGCTCTGTGTGTTGTGAAGCAGTTCCATGACAGGAAACACAATTTATGGGCTGTAGGTTCACACAGTTCCATGACAGGAAATACAATTTATGGGCTGTAGGCTCATTGCCAGCGAACCTTTGTAAATACATAAAGTCCACAGGCAGAATCTGCCCTGTGTGTAGTCTCTGGTGACACTGGGCACGTCTTGCCAGCAGCCCAGGGGGAATCAGGGGCAGCTCGTGGGGTCAGTGTGGTGGCTGTGGCGGCCAGGGAAAGGCATCCCAGCTCTCCTCATGGCAAGGTCTGCTCCCATTGAGAAGCTGGCTGTGCAGCCGAGTGTTTGAATGCGACTGTCACATCGCCCTGTCTTCCTGACAGGAGTAACTTGGCTTGAAGGCATTTTCAAAGCAGTAACCACAGGATATTTTTAACTGCCTTGTGCTTGCAGGAAAAATAGAGTCACTTTTATTTAAATACAACGTGAAATTACTCAGCCCACGTTGATAGGGCATGTCAAGTGGGATGTGTAATGCCAACATGTCCTACAAGCACCATGACATTCCTATATATAGTGGGGCATCCATTTCATATGAAAATCCCTGTGCTGAGCATGAAGCAAACGACTTTTCCACACCTGATGCTTACTTGGAGGGGGAACACCACAAAATCAGCTCTTAAAGTGGCTTCTGACCTTTTTCCTGCCACACCATGCTGCCCAAAATAATCTTTCACATGCAGCAGTTGAACATCTCCTTGTCTTGAAGGTGGCAACTTGCACAACACAGAAATCCTTCCACAGGGAGGTTTTGGGAATGAAACTTCTGCCAGCATTAACAATTGGGCTGCCTCCAGCCAGGCCCTGGTCATCTGAAAATATCAGAACCCCCCCACCTTCATCTGTGATTAAAAGAACCCAAGCAATGAAATAAAACAAGCTGTTGGAATTGTCACCCTTCCTCTTCCAAGGCAAAACCTACCATTGTAAATAACAGAACCCCACCCAGAGCAGTCCTGCATGCCCCTGTCAAGTGCAGAATCAGCAAAAGGTATCATTATGCCTGTATTACACCTATCAAACCCAGGAAAAGATGAGGAACTGAAGCAGAAATCACAGACAGGTTGGAGAAGTCAGCCAGAGACACACAGAGACACAATGCACCACGGAGGGATTTTTCAGGCTTTGGTGACAGGAGATATTTGGATTCAGGAGCATTTGCCAGGGGCCATCATTTGCTGGGAAGGCTGAGACTGAAACAATTCTCTTTCAGGGCAGCCTGTCATGTGTGTGGCTGTGCAAGGCCTCAAGTTACTGAGACAAATGTGGCTTATACTCCCTGTGATATCTGAAATTGTATTTAACATCTAGCTTACTTTTTGCGTCTGTATTATTGCTGTGAGCTCTTTTCTACTCGGGTGGATCTTGACCTGACCAGGAGTGCTTTTAGTGCGTGAGTTCCTGCTTTTAATAAAGGAATGATGGAGAAAAGACACGAAGAGATGGGGAGGAAGGATGTCTCAGCCTTTCACGTGCTGGGAAGGTTCATGTGGAGGAGCTGTGGGTGCTGAGCCTCTGACAAATGGGCTTTGACAAGAGTGAGTGACAAAAGCAAGAGCTGGCGCCTGAATTTGAAGGGCTCTCCTCTTTTTTTTCTGCCTTGCTTTCGGGAGGGCTGCTGTCAGACAGCTGTTGGATGCAAAGCAGACTGATCTATACCACGGGTCCTGTGGGGATCTGAGGGAGAGGAAGGAGGATCCAGCCACCCTCTGGCTGCCTATCCTCATCCCACCACACGTGGGGTCAGCTCCCACCTCAGAGGGGCCACCAGGAGAGCCAACAAACAGGCCCCCTGCCTGGTCTCCCCGTGGAATTTGAGGGGAAGTTCCCTCTGAGCATCTGTTAAACTAATTTAGACTTTTCCCCCTAACCCCGGTGCAACTGCTCCTTTTTGCAGGGCCTGCAGGAAATAGACATCACTTCTGGAGGATTATCACACTGGCCAAAATTAACTCCCTGTTATCCTGTTCCTCTCCATCTGCTTGGTGCAGGGTGCAGGATCCACCTTGACCACAGCAGTACCTGGCATCAATTCCCTGCTGATCCTTGAGGAAGTCTTCCTGGCATTCCAGCCACTATATAAAAGCAACAAGTTCTCCCTCACAGGGCTTAGCTGGGACTGGGGTGCATTGCCCATTCCTCTGAAATCCTGTTCTCTTTGTTTCCTTCCAAATACTGAAACAAACAATGTTTGAATTTCAGGCTCTCTGTTTCCCACCCCTGGTGGGATCTTCCCAAAGGACGGTGCCAGGATTCCCAAACCTGATGATCCTGGGTAGCATCCAAAGGTCAGCCATCCATTGGTGCTGAGGTGAGGTTAGGATCAGGATCAGGATCAGGATCAGGATCAGGATTAGAACCAGGATCAGGATCAGGATCAGGATCAGGATCAGGACCAGAATCAGGATCAGGATCAGGATTAGGATCAGGATCAGGATCAGGATCAGGACCAGGACCAGGACCAGGACCAGGACCAGGACCAGGATCAGGATCAGGACCAGGATCAGGACCAGGATCAGGATCAGGATCAGGATCAGGGTTTGGAGTGAGCCCAGGGCTGTTGGAGGGGGGCTTGGGAGGGACTGTCAGAGGGAAGAGTGGGCTGTGGAGAGAGCTTGGCTGTGAAATAGATTGATCTGGGATATATCCATGGGATCTCATCCGACAGCCTGCCCTCTACCAGGGCTGCAGCTGAAAGCCTCCTGCTGCTTCTGGGAAGGGGCCACCTCAGGAAAGCCTTGGATGCAAGTCAAAATGCTCAGGTCCTCCCCTTCAGGTGCTCCTTCAACACTGTCCAGACCCCCCATCACCCTCACTCCAGCTGCAAGCCTGGAGCAAATCTGAACCACTTTGTGTCCATTTTTTTTATTTTTTTATTTTTGGTCCCTATGAGAATAACAGAAAATGGTCGTTTAAGGTTATTTTTTCTGTTTAACCTCCTCCTGCTGTCCCCAAGTGTGCTGCACAAAGCCCTTATCAGGATTGCAGGGCAGGTTTGAAGACAAGCATTGTTTCTCTCAGTCACGATTTGAGAGTGAAGTGGTGGGAGTTTCATTATCAAAGGCTGGCCCAGCTGCCAAGTTTGAAACAATTCTGAGATCAGCTCATTCTGCCTCCCTCCTGCTGCTCCTTGTCCCTGCTTTGAAGTGACTTTTTGGAAGGAGTTAATCAAGTGCAGTTTCCAGCCTCTCCTGCAAGCCAGGCTCAAGCACAACCCAAAGTCTAAGACTGTGAGGGCCACGAAGGGTTTTCCTTGGTTCACTTTACCCTGCTCCACTGCTCTTAAAATCCCTTCTTGCCCTGAGTGTGCATTTACCTAAAAAAGCATCATTTAACTTTTTTTTTCTGCTTTATTTTGTTTTTCCCATGGTGAAAGAAACCAGCAGAGCACCTGTTAACATTAAATTCATGTCTACAACACACGTTCTTCAGGGTAGGAGCTAACACAGACTTTTTTCTTAGTCAGTAGCCTACGTCAGTTAGGAGGATGTGGCAGCCCAGTAGGAT